TGGGCCCCCCCGGGTGGGCTGCACCAAGCCCCTGGCCACAGCCCAGGCCCTCACCTCTGCCGACGGGAACTGGTCCTCCCGCAGGCTGCTGTGGTGACGGCGGCCCAGGTCCCAGGCCAGTCTGGCCAGTCCCACCAGGGCCCCCGGGGGGCTGTCGTGGGCGGCTGGGCCTAGTAGGCCAACATACAGGCCCGTGAGTGTGGAGGGCAGCTCGGCCTCATCGCCCAGCTCCAGGAGGGCCTCAGAGAGCTGGCACACGGCCCGGCACACAGTGGGGCTGTGGCTGTGACTCAGGAGAGACGGCTGGGCCTGGAGGAGGGCCAGGGCTCTCTTCTGGTGCTCAGCGGCCCCCGAAGCCTCAAAGTAGCGCAACACGTAGGTCTCGGCCTGCTGGGCGGAGAAGCCGGCTACCTCAAACATGGCGTCAGCCTTGCTCAGACTCTGGGCCAGGCGTCCTCGGGGCCGGGCCGTGAGCAGCAGGGTGCAGCCTCGTAGCACCTTGCGCTGGAAGAGGCCCGCCAGCAGCCCCCGGAGGGAGCGGGGTTCTGCCGACCCGGGCCCGCACGCACTGTGCAAGAAGCCGTCCTGGGTTTCGAGCTCCTCGAAGGCATCCAGGATGAGCAGAATGCGGTCAGGCCTCCGCAAGATGTAACTGAATACTTCATCCTCCACCGGCCGGGGCTGCAGGCCCGGGGAGAAGAGCAGATCCTGCAGGAGGTAAGTGTCCCCTCGACGGTCCAAACAGTGGCAGGGGATGCAGAAGACAAAGTCATACTGTGGCAGCTGGCCGCAAGCCCAAGCCCAGCTCACGGCCTGAGCCCAGTGACTCTTCCCCTGTCCTGCTTTGCCCAGCACGGCGATCACCCGCGTCTCTCGTGGCCGCCGGCGGTCACTAGTGGCCAGCAGCACCTCGGCCAGACCCCCTCGGGCCGGCTGCCGCTCTGTCCAGTCCAGGGTGGCCAGCTCTCTCTCCTGACCCTTGTTGCTGCTCCTCTCCAGCCGTACCCTCACCAGGTCCACCTCCACCAGGATGCCTTCCGGGCCTGCAGGCTTAGCCTGGTACTTGTCCCGTAGCGAACGGCAGAACTGCTCCACGCTGTCTGCACAGGTCAGAGGATGCAGGGTTGGGGAGGGGAGGATGGTTGTGGCAGGACCAGCCACCATCACTAGCTTCTTCGTCCCTTCACCACAGTCTTCCCTGACTGCTTTCTTTATTAGCTGCCTCAGTCAGTGACCCAGACACTCATTCATTAATTCAATTCTTCCTAAACCCATTTACTCATTCCTCTATTTACTCACTAACCTTCTTTGGCTCACTCACCATGGGGAGGCCATTGTGGGGGTGTTCAGATAGTGGAATCCATGTGTCTGATTCAAGTCCTAGCTCCACCACTTTAAAAAAAGTTTTTTTAATGGAGGTACTGGGAATTGAACCCAGGACCTCATGCAGGCTAAGCAAGGGCTCTACCACTGAGCTATACCCAGCCCCCACCACTAATCTGTGTTATGTTGAGCATGCTATGTACCCCACTATGCCTCAGTTTCCTCATCTGCAAAACAGGGATCATATTCAGGTTGTTTGCAAATTTAATGGTTTACTGTGTCTTGTGTGCTTGGAAGGGTACCTGGAAAAGAGTCAGACTCGGCAGTTTGGCCATTCTCTCAGCCACCCTTTCACCCTGACCTTCCATCTCTCCCACACTCGCCATCAACTCCTGCCTTCATCCACTCTCTCAGCTACCTGCCCTTCCCTCATTCATTCTCTCGGCCTTGCAAACAAGCCCTCCTGGTGTGGGCCTACGAGGGGCGGGTCCTCCATAATGTTGCTTAAGTGTAAGCACAACTGGCTGAATGAATGCTGGTATTCAGTGTGTCAGATGGAAGCCCAAACCTGGCTTCCCTTCCCTTACTCATCCGACGCGGAGGGGTCCTGCCACAACTCACCAGGCCATCTGGGAAGCTGGCTGGAGGGCTTGAGAGCTGCCGGACTCTGGGTGGGGGATGTTTCATCCTCTGGAGAGAAGAAGCCAGTGTCAGAGTTAGGGTGAAGGGTGCCCCCGGGGCTTCCCTCCCTCCGCGGCATCCAGTCCTCTAAATGTCCTGAGAGCAGAGCTGATAAGGGCTGAGTCTCCCCGAGATGGAGGTTCCAAGGTGATGACCCAAGGCTGTATCCTACTCAAAGACGGCTTTCTTTGGCCTGCTGTAAATTTTAAAATGTTCACCAGTGTTTTCAAAATCACAGTGTCTATGTGAAAATCAAGATCTCCAGATTCTGCTGACACCTCAGAAGATCTGGCCGCACAGAGCCTGTTTTCCTGTTGAGTGATAAACTGGTGAAGGCTGGTGGCCCCATTTAGGTGGGACGTGGATTCTCCAGTTGTTCCCCTCACCCACCTTCCCGGGCCCTCCACTCCCTGGAGACCCTCCCTGCCCTGTTTTACAGAAACACAACTTGGCTGTCCCTGCAGGCAGCTCTGTAGGTGGACCTCATTGTCTGAGGCAGTTGCTTCCCCAGGGTCTCAATCCTGCTGCCAAGAACTCTCCCTGGCCCCACCGGTTCTTACCTGTCAGGTTTGCACGGGAGGTCAGGGCTGGTTCGGGCATGCTAGGAAGGTCAGCTGCAGATGGGGCGAAGGGGCTGGTAGAGCCAGGTCGGTCTGGGGACTTCGGGAAGTTGTGGACAGGTGGGCCACTTGAAGTAGGTGTTTGGCTGGCCTGGGGCATCTCACCTACATTGGGAGGGAAAAGAGTGTAGGAACAACCAGGAACCCACCTGGGTCACCCCCGCCCCAAATTAGGCTGTTAGGCTAGGAGTCTGCAGAGAGGAGAAAGAAACTTCCAAAGGAACACATTTCTGGGTGGAGTTGCGGAAAGGGCTCTGGAGTTACATCTATCTCCTGCAGCCTTGGTTTCCCCATCTGTGAAATGGACACAATCAGCTCATAGAGAGCTTATGGCAAGTGCTACTACAGTACTTTTCCCACTGTGTGGTCAGTACTCATTCTCCTAGATGTCCAGAATGCTTCCTTGCTCCTGAGGCACCAGTGCATTATATAAAAACTGGCATGCAATCTTGAAAGTGTGCTCTTGAATTGAGTGAAGGTATTCCCCTAGCCCCACTCTCTTTCCCATCCCTGAGAGCTTAACATGCCTTCCCTGGGAAAATTCACAACCCTTCAATGTGGCAGGTCAGCAGGGACCATTTTACTAACAGGGAAACAAGGCAATTCAGAAAAAGCTGTGCAAGGATCCATACCAAACTGTTCAAAATGGTATACTAAAAAAGAGTGAGAAAGAGACCCAGTAACTCTTGTATCTCACTATTTGCCTTGTTAATGAGCATTATTGATGTTCTGATTTTAAAATATAATAAAGTTTAATTTTTTTTGAAAAAGAAGGAAAAACAAAGGTTTAGTGGGGGAAAGTGACAAATAGAAGGCCACATAGCCCCGTGGTGGGTCACCCACCTGGACCATGTTAGGGAGCTCTGCCCCTCTGCTTTGACTTTTGGGAAATAGGAACAGAGGAGGCTGTTCTGGGGGTTGTGGATAATGAGAAGGCACTAGGCTACAACTGCCGAATACCTGGAGTGGGGGGAGGGCAGGGTCAGGGAGCAGCCAGGGCACAGACAGAGGCGGCTGGGGGCCAGGCCGAGCACACTCACCTCGGTAGATGACTATACTGGAAAGCCCTGCCCCGGCCCCTGAGATCTGCCAGAGCCCTTGGGGCAGAGTGGAAACAGTGGGGATGATCTGGATGGATCCAGCAGGGAGACTGAAGCAGCTCAACAATGAACTGGAAGGGGGCCCTGCAAGAGACAAAGGCAGTGAGATAGGCTTCTCCAGAGCACCTAAGTTTGTAATCCTGTTTCATGGTTAATTAACATCTGACTCCCTTCTAAAGGATTCCCATCTCCCTGAGAAAAACAACTGTGATGCCTTGCCCATGGTGGTGTTCCTGGCACCCAACAGCGTAGCTGGCACAGAGAAGGCACTCAGTTCATAGCTGATGAAAGCATCGGGCTGGTGGGTGAATTCCCTAATTGGCGAGGAATCCCTGCTGTGTCTTCCAGGGCTGCGATTCCTTCCTGGGCATGCTGTCCGGCACAGACTGAGTGGATGGGGACCCTGAGTATGGGGTGGGCTGGGACAGACATGGGTGTCTACATTATTAGGGGGGAAATTCCTGTCCCTGATGGCTCCTGCCTTAGCTACACTTCAGGCACCTCCGGGGAGGGGGGAAACCCACCCTCTCCAAGCCCTTAACCTACCGGGCATCAGGACAGTGTCTTCCAGCCGGGTCTGGCTGGATGCTGATTCCTTGTTGAACAGAGCAGGTGGTGCCGGGCAGGGCTGAGCCAAGGAGTCACTCACTGGCCCCACCAGGAAAGTGTCAGTCACCATGGGCATGGTGAGGGGCTCGGCTGTGAGGAAGAGGGCTGTGTTAGAGGCTGGGTGAGATGTGGGTGGGTGCCTGGAGGGGCCTCCCTGGCGTGGGGAGGACTCTGGGAGTGGATCTCTCTGCTGGCAGTGGAAGGAAACTCCTGTCCTTTTCTCAGCCCTGAGTGAAGCTGGTTTGATCAGCAATTGCTCTGTGCCAGGTAGTCCCCCCACCCGCAGCCTCCCCTTTGTGACTGGGTCCTGAGTGCTTCCTGCCATGGTGAGCTAGGGGCAGGTATAGATAGCTCAGTGGTAGAGTGTGTGCTTAGCGTGCCCGAGGTCCTGGGTTCAACTCTCAGTACCTCCATTAAAATAGATAAATAAGTAAACCTAATTACCTCCCCGCGTGGGGAAAAAAAAAAGAGAGAGAAACATCATAATAAACAAACAATAAACTTTTAAAGAAAAGGGTGCTAATGTCAACTTGAAATTAAAAAAAAGCCCTATGAAATAGAAACAAACCTATGAATAGGCTGTTGGCCAGGCCCCCCACCCCCAACAAAGTACTTCCCATCAGACTGGGCAGGAGTTTATCTCCTCCATTATTGGGAGGTCCAGCAGGGTGGAGACTTGCCTCCCCCATCAGACTGGGAGCTTCTTGAAGGCAGGGACTGCTTCTCTATCACCCTGGGGTCTTCATGGGCAGGGCCCCTTTCTCCCTCATCAGATGAGAACATTCTGAGGGCAGCGACCAGGCTTCCTCCATCAGACTAGGCGGCTTTCATTTCTCAGTCTGTTCCCCACAGAGAGGCTGGTCTCCCCACCTTTGCAATAATAATTGGATGGAAGGGGAGGGGACAAGATGGGAGGGAAGGAAGCATCTGGGGAGGGGATGGTGAGCTTGGGGGAAGAGGCTTACTGAGGCATGGGGGCTCTAAGGAAGGCAGGAAGGCACTGGGTAACCAGCTGACTCCAGGTGATTCTGCACTGGGAAAGGAGAGGTGGGACCTGGAGAGGCAGTGGAGCTAGGTGGGGTGGGGGCGGGTGTGTCTCAGGTCTGACTCAGAATTAAGAAGAGGGAGGGGTTGGGGAGAGGCTTTGTAGGAGGAAGAGGAGCTGACTCTCCCAGCAGTCCTTGAACTGCTACGGAATCATGATCTTGGTTTGAATCCCAGTTCCACCTCCCACTTGCTGTGTGATCTCAGACAAGTGGCTTCACCTCTCTGAGTCTTAGCTTTCAAATGCCAGTTTCTTTCTTTTTCTTTCTTTTTTTTTTTTAACATTTTTTAATTGAGTTATAGTGATTTTACAATTTGTCAAATTCCAGGGTAGAGCACAATTTTTCAGTTATACATGAACATATATATATTCATTGTCACATTTTTTTTTCGCTGTGAGCTACCATAAGATCTTGTGCTATACTGTATAATCTCGCTTATCTATTCTACATTTTGAAATCCCAGTCAAATGCCGGTTTCTGTGTGCACCTGTGGAGGCCCCCGCTTTCCTGCCTGGCAATCTCCCGGCCCACCCGCCCTGCTCACCTAGCTTCCTGTGCTTCAGATCCGCAGGCAGCTCCTCTGGGAAGGCTACAGAGAGAACACCAGAGTCAGCAGCTTCAGGGAAGGGGTGTCCCAGAGCACGAGGGGCTCACGGACTCCAGCAGGCTGTATAACCTTGTCTTACATGGCTAGGAAGTGGCCTTCAGGTCCCTTTCCCTCTGCTGCTTCCGACCACTTCTTCCCCCAACTCATCTGCTTAAGCCCAAGCCCCAACTTGAAGCACCCAGGGCAATGAGGCACTGGAAGAGGCAGAACCACAGAGGGCACACAAGATGAGTTTGAGTTAAAAAAATTAAATAAAAATAAAACAACCTGGTTTTGGTTCTTTCTTAGCTGTGAGTCTTTGCAACACAGCCTCTCTGAGCCTTTGCTCTCTCATCTGTGAAATGGGTCAGTGATTCCCACTTTGCAGGGGTACACTGGAGGTCAGTGAGTGAGTATCAAGCAGGTAGCACATCAACAGAGAAAACCCCTATGTGTCCCTTAGCAAGGGGCTGATGAAACCAATTACAGCTCACTCACCCAGTGAAATACCACGCATCCCTAAAAATAATCCGGATACTGAAGGACGTATGAGGCAGTACTGGTGTCTGCAATTTACTTTGAAATGTGCTAAAAATAGTCTACGGCCATACCACCCTGAACGTGCCCGATCTTGTCTGAAATGTGCTAAAAATAAAATGGATGGGTTGGTGGATGAATAGAGGGATGGACAGATGGATAGAGATGTGTGAGGTGAATATATCCAAACACTGACAGTAGAATGTAAGTGGTGGGTATGTGGTTGTTTGCAGTACAATTCTTTCACTTTTCCTGTATGTTGAAAAGTTTCATAATAAAATTTAGGGAAACTATTTATCAAATAAAAAGGAAGGAAGGAAGGAAGGGAAAAAATAAAAGAAGGAAGGGAAATTCTTTGGCAGTAGGACCGTATGTTCTCCATCAGTGATACAGAAATGACCTACCACACATGTTAAATGGAGAAAGCCAGGTATAGAAGACTGTAGGTAAATGTGGTCATTTATATGGATTTTTTTTAAAAAAGAGCTGGCTTTTAGGCAAATAGAATATTTCCAACAAGACAAAAAAGAAATTGGCAACATAGGTTGTCTTCAGGAGGGAAACGGAGGGGCTGGGGGACAAGGGTGGGAGGGAGATTTTTTTTCACTGAATAGTCTTTGCACCTTTTGAATTTTTATACCATGCACTTGTTTACCTGTTCAAATTAAATAAATAGGTACAGGGCTGACACACGGTCTGGCACGGAGTAAGTACACAATAAACACTTGATTAACTATTTTGCCTATTTTATGGAAATTTTCATTCAACGGATGTTCACTGAGGTGCTACTGCATCCAGGCATGTGCCAGATGCTGGGGGTGTGATGATAAGTAAGAAAGATAAGATCCCTATCCTCATAGCAGGGGGACTAAGCAAAATGCTTAAGTAAAATAAGCCCAGATTATGACAAGGGCTACAGTGCCAGGAAAGACACCAACAAGATAAAAATAAGTGAGGTAATTTATATGGAAAAGGTGGTCAAAGAAGAACTTCAGGAGGGGATGACATGTTAGACAAGACTTAAAAGATTCAAAGGAGAAAGAAGCAGGGGAAGGGCATTCCAGATAGAAGGAACAATAAGTGCAAAGGCCCTGAGGCTGGAAATATACATGGGTTACAGGGATGGAAAGAAGCCAGGATGGCTGGAGCATAGTGACTCATGCACATCTGGAGAGGTGGGAAGGGCCCGATCACACAAGGCTTGTGGTATGTATTTTGTAGCCATTAGAGGGTTAACAGGGGATGCAAAATGATCTTATTTACATTTAAAAGCCCATGTTGGCTGCCAAGTGAGGACAGATTAAGGAGGCAGGGAGACTGACAAGAAGGCTTAGAGAGATGCAGGTACTTGCCCAAGGTCACACAGACCATAAATAGTTGATCCAGGGTTCAAACCCAGTTCTTGCTGACTCCAGAAACTGTGCTTAAAGAGATCTCCCATAAACTCAGGGGTGACAACTAAAGTAGAAGGCGAAGCCAGAGCCCAGAGGTCCTTTTGGCAATGGCAATCAAAACAGCCAGGGACAGAGAGCCACCAGGAGAAGGGCCATCTGCTCCCTCCCAGGGTCACCAGGGAGCAGTGGGGAGGGGAGAGGTGAGTGGGATACCCAAACCCAGGTGGAGAAGACAGGAGGGAAGCAACTGGAAGCCACAACAGATTTTAGAGCCAAGACAGGGCCAGGCGTCAAGCAAGTCTAGGTCACATCAGGGAGGGGCTCACTCACGTCTTTTCTGACTTTTCTGTCCTGCTTCCTCCAGCACCTCCACACTCTCACCGATCATTTCTTCCAGTCCTATGTGCTCGACTGCGGAGAAGAGCCAAAGACAGCAACATACACGGTCAGTGGACTGGTGAGCCACCATTGTCCCTGCGTTGAAGAGGGATCTGACCATTCATTGAAAGGTGGTCGTCAGGTGTTACAGTGCTCCCCAAGGAACAAGGAAGGAAATGTAGACTGAGCCAAGAACCGCCCCCAACTTACTGAAAATGTCTTTGCTCAGGCCCTCCAGCTGGGAATCCTGGAAGACGTACTGGTCCAGTTCCGCTGCCCAGACAAGGAAAAGTGCAGTCAATCACCAAGTTCTCACCGAATGCTTATTGTATCCCTGGCCTTGAGCTGGGCAGCAGGGAACTGTGACCTCCCAGACCTGGCACACAGTGGGGCTCAGTCAATGTTTGCTGAATGAATGATCACATTAATGAAGGAACACTGAAGCTTCATGGGCTCTTGATCTATATCCATGAAAACTTATCTACTGCTATAAAGTAGTGCAATGCAGCATAGCAGAGTTGTCTTGGATTTGAACTTAAATTCTAGCTCTATGCACGCCCTCTTCACTAGCCCTACTAGCAATGCAATCTTGGGCCAATTACTTAACCTCTCTGGACCTCCACTTCCTCATCTGTGTAATAAGAATAAATAATGCCTACAACCCAGGGATGGGTAGTGAGAATTAGAGGCTCTGCATTTAAAGCAATCAACACAGTAGCCAGTACACAGTAGACATTCAATAGATGGTGGTTAATTAGATGAAGTGGAACATGGCTTGGAGCCAATGGGAAGACAGTCATGATGACAAGAGGTAAGAGGAGAGACTGTCTAGGGGGATGGGGCAATCAGGGAGGGCTTCCCAGAGGAAGGAATCCTAGAGACCTTGAAAGATGGGGGCAGAGTCTGGGGGCAAAGTGGAGGGCTTTCTGGGTAGTAGGAACAGAGTTTAGTAAGGTGTTTGGGAAACTCTAGAGATGGGTATCTGCAGTAAGAATTTCACGTTGGGGAAAGGCAGGACTTGATTTTATAGGCAATGGGGAGCCATAAAAAGCTTCTGAGCTGAGGAACGGCTGAGGGTAGCAATGATGGTGGTGATGAGGATGATGATGAAGAATGTGATAATGATGATGGTGTTGATGGCAGTGGTGGTGTGGTACCTCACACATTGAATGCTCACTCTTTTCAAATTCCTGTTCTAAACACTTTCCGCAGACACTTCTTCAATTCTCACAGTCACCCCATGAGGCAAGTGTGATTACTATTCCCATTTTATACATATGGAAGCCAATGGGTAATATTTCAGGATGCCTCAAATGACTGTATGCCAACGGCTTCTGGGAGCACAGACTTGAGGAACAGACTTGGGTGAAGCTGCCTCCTCCGCTTCCTCCCACTTCTGTGTAGATGCCCCTAAGGGGAAAAAGCCCAAATTACTCATTACTCCCCCTAGTTGTGATGAAATGTGAATATCCTCAGCCCCAAGCATTTCTGCTTCCCCCAAGTAAATTCTCAGAAAGGAAAGGAAGCAGGCAGGCTCTCAGTTCTGTAATTTTTGAGACACGTACGTTTTCTGCTCCTCTCGTTTTCTGCTCCTCTCTGTTTTCTGCCCTTGTATAATGCTGGATGAACCATGTGCTAGGGAGAGACTGGCCACATTCTGTGTCGAGCACAGACCTTCTAAGTGATGTTCTTGGGTTGCCAGGACAGGGACCACTAAGAACATCTGTGCAGGTTGTTCACTGTCCAACGGTGTTCAGCCAAGAGGGCAAATGGGGGGCAAGAATCCAGCTTGCACTTTAACAGCCAAGCTGTTACTTCTTAATGGGAGTTGCATCCTCCAGAAAGAGTGTTATCTTTTTCTAATTCAATGAAGCCTCTGTATGAGACAGTGGTGACCCTGGTGAGGAGGCACCCTTTACCCCCCACCGCCACCAAAAAAACACAACAACAGAAACACCTCTCCCCAAGGAGTTCTGCCCTTGTCTGAAAGCTGTAGCTCTTTTTAAAGCTGCAAACCAGCCTCTTGGCTTAAGCCTTAGCAAACCTCCCCACTACCCTAGATTCTTTCCTTTCTGTGGTTAAAAATAAGGACTTTGAAATGAGAAAGACCTAGGTTAGAATTTCAGACCTGCCCATTACTATCTCTAATGCAGCCTTGGGTAGATCCATTTATCTCTCTAAACCTCAATTTCCGCATCTTTGACAGAAAGTAGATACTATTAGTATCTACTTTCTTTGTTTTTGTAAGGATTCAATGTGATAAAACATGCTCAGTGATTAGCATGCTACAAGTGCCCCCTAAAAGGTAGTTATTACAAATACTAGAGTAGTTTGACTTAGGAGTGGGGGAGAAAGAGACGGAGGAGTATGTGTTCTGTGCGTTGTGAGAAAGAAGGAAGAAGAGCAACAAATAGAAAAAGGTATAGAAATTGAGGCAGAGGATATAAAAGTGAGGTTTGTTTGCCTGGTGTTCACTAGTGAAGGGTTCTATTTCCCTTGCCATGTCCCATCTCCCTTCTTTCCCCAAGTCTCCATCCTTCTAGCCCTCGCTCCCCATCCCCCTTGCCCTGATTTCTGAAGAGCCTGCTGGCTCCTGGTGAGTGGGTGAGATTAACAGAAGAGAAAGAAGAATCTTTCCCTTCAAAAATTTTTTTCTGGACTCAGACTGCTTCCTCACCGATATTGGCATAAGCCTCCTTGGTCTCTTCATCACCTTCCATGGCACACAACAGCCTGCTGAACTGTTCGCAGTTGATGGTGTCCGTATCGGGTTCTGGGAGGAAAAGCCACTTGGATGAAGCAGGAAAGATCTGGGAAGAGGGCTGGTGGGGAAGGAGGGAGAGGCAGGGCGGGCTGGGAGATGTCCCTGCTGGGAGAGAGCCTCGCACCGAGCTGGAGCTGTCCGTAGTGCTGACCGGAGCTCTGTGGCCAGCACTTTTCCTGGTTGCTATCTCCACTGTAGGCAGGGAGGTGGGGAGGGGCTTGGAAGGGGCCAGAGGGAGAAGAGCCCACCTGAGTAGAGCTCTGTCTCTTCTTCTCCAGCCACATCCATCCGGTCACAGAGGTGGTAGAGTTGCAAAGGGTCGGCATTGCTGTTGAGAAGCTCCAGGTACCCGCCTTCTATAGGTCCCAACTCCATGGTGGCACACTGTCCACTGCCTGGAAGGGAGACACACCTAGTTAAATTATGAGGTGTTGGAAAGATGCAGAGAACTAACATCTATCACATTTCCCAGGTGGGTCGCTCCGTGAAGGCCAGGGTTGGTGGGAGCCAAAGAAAGTGAGCAAAGGCTCTCATTCAGCACCTCTTATGTGGAGAGGAAGCCCTATATCCTTCCTCCAAGGAACTTACAATCACACTGGAAAGATGCCCAGGATACAGAAGAGGGAACTGGGGAAGTGTAGATTCAAGATATCTCACACCTGGGAGCTAGGAGACTTGAGTTCTGCTGCTGCTGCTGCTGCCATGAATAATAACAGCTAAGATGTACAGAGCACCCACTATGTGCCAGACACATGGGCTAGCACATTTAACACTCACATCAACAACCATATGAGCTAGGAACAATTGTTAACCTTGCTTTACACATGAGTAAACTGAGGCTCAGAGAGGTAAAGTGGCCAACATAAGGTAACGCAACTCCAAGTGGAACCAGGATTTGGTACTGGGCAGTCTGACTCATGGACCTGTATTTTAGGGTTATGCTCTCTTGCCTTGGGTGATCTCGAGCAAATCTGTGCTCTTCTCCATGTTTCAGTTTCCTAATCTGTAAATTGAAGGAGTTGGGGCAGATTTTTTCTAAGATCTTTTATTATCATTTGTTGGAGAACGTATCAAAGACATTAGGTACTACTTCATTTAATCCTCAAAACAACCCTGGACGTATCCACACAAAAACTTGCATACGAATGCATGTAGAAGCATACTTCATAATAGCCAAAATATGGGAACAATTCAAATGGCCATCAGTGGATGAAAAGATAAACAAAATGTGGTCTATCTATACAGTGAACAGTATTCAGATCTAAAAAGGAATAAAGTACTGACACCTGCTTCAATATGGATGAAACTTGAAAACATAAGTGAAAGAAGCCAGACACAAAGTCTACATTTTGTATGATTCCACTTATATGAAATATGTAAAACAGACAAATCTTTGGAGATAGAAAGTAAATTAGTGTTTGGCTATAGTAGGGGGAGAGTTGTGAGGAAAATGGGTAACAGCTGCTAATGAATATGGGTTTTTTTTTTGAGGAGATGATGAAATGTTGTAAAGTTGACTGTGAGGATGGAGCACAACTGAGTGAATATGCTAAACATGCCATGAATTGTACACTTTGAATGAGTGAATTGTCTGATACTTGAATTATACTTCAATAAAGCTGTTAAAACAAACCACAGTCCCTGGAAGGTAGGCATTATTCTCTCCATTTTGCAGATGGGTAACCTGAGGCTTAGAGAGGCTAAGCAGCAGCTCTCGCTGGCGAGAGCCAGTACAAAGCCTCATCCACATGGCTCAAATGGCTAATGAATCCCTCGTTCAGATAGTCCATGATCCTACGATGTGTTCATTTCCTGTAGCTACCACAACAAAAGTACCACAAACCTAGTAGCTTAAAGTAACTGAGTCTTATCCCCTCATAGTTCTGGAGGCCAGAAGTCAAAAGTCAAGGTGCTGGCAGGGCCATGGCCCCTCTGGAGGTTTTAGCGGGGAATTCTTTGCCTCTTCCAGCTCTGGGAATTGGTGTCATTCCTTGACTTGTGACCTTGTGGCCACATCACTCTAGTCTCTGCCTTGCTGGTCACATCACCTGCTAACTTGGCTTTCTCTTAAAAGGACATTGGGGGAAGGGTATAGCTCAAGTGGTAGAGCACATGCTTAGCATACACAAGGTCCTGGGTTCAATCCCCAGTACTTCCTCCAAAAGTAAAATAAAAATAAGTAAACCTAATTACCTCCCCCCTAAAAATATATACATATATTTTAAAAAACCTAATTACCCACTCAAAAAAGGACATTGATTTAGGGCCTCCCCAGATAATCCAGGATGATATTATTTGATGATCCTTAACCTAATTATATCTGCAAAGAACTTTTTTTCCAAAATCCCAGAAGGGAGTCCAGGGGTTTGATGTAGACATAGCTTTGCAGCAGAGGGGTAGGGGGCAAAATTCAACTTGATGTACATGGGACACAGACACACACTGGAAAGAATCATAGGAACCTTCTTGGAGGAAGTGAGAAGAGAGCTGGCTGTGAAGTCTAGAGGATTCAAGGTAGCTTTCTGAGTGCCCAGCCTAGGCCAGAAGAAAATGGAATCAAAGCAGAGAAAGGCTGTGAGAAACAGACACAACTCACCACCACCTCCCAGCTGCTTCTTTTCCTTTCAGTCATCAACTGCTCTCACTAGCCGCAGAGGGTCTCAGCACACACCTGGATATCACAGAGAATGAACTTTCCACTCCAACGCAGGGGCCCTGACCAGGGCTGACTCTTTATGACGGGTTGGGTGGGGGCCGCAGGAACCCAAACATAGCAGGCTTGTTTTAAAGGTCTAGCCAACCGTGGCTGGAGGAAACAGAACTGAAAGACAAGACGGCCACCCTGTTCTTGGAATGGGGCCAAGGCTGGCAGGCAGAGGGGAGGGCTCCACCTCTCCCAACACATTCCCTGGTAGCCAACCAAGCAATCTACTTTTCTCTCCAGGGTGGTGAGAGAAGATCTCCCTGCCCCAAACCTTGCCTGCTGCCTGCCTCCCATTTTCAATCTGAGGTCTTTATTGAGAGCCTACATTATGGCACACTGTCTCTTTTCCCAGACAGTGAGATCTAATGACAGCAGCTCCAGACTAACTCCAGCAACTCCATGAATGAAATGTGTGACTTTGGTCAAGTTACGCAGACTCTCAGTTTTCTCAAGAGATCTGCCAGGGACCTTCAAGTTCAATCTCCTTCATTCTACAGAGGAGAAGATGAGACCCTGAGAGGGGATTTACCTTGCGCAAGGCTCCAGAGTCTGCCAGTGCCCAAGCCTGTACCTGATCTCCAAGCACAAGACTCCCAGTCCACGCTCTTTCCTGCCAATCAAAATGTTTCCATTCAAACGATCACCCCCATTTATCCGGGCTCAGGAATAGGCGCCAGGTCCCATCACAGGTGGGTGACGGAGGGAGGCATAGAGGGGAGGGGCCTGAAAAAGTCTAGCTGATTGACAAGCTCCACTTCAAACGTTGGACAGCATCACCAAATCTGGTCAAACACCAGGGAAATACACTGACAGTACAGAAACAAAGCAACTCCCTTGAGCTTTAGAGTCAAATTGCCTGACTCCAAAACCATGCCTATCTACCAAGTCACCGCAGCCTGGGCAAGTTCATAATATTATTTGATGACCCTTAACCTAATTATATCTGGAAAGAACTTTTTTCCAAAAACCCCAGAAAAGAGTCCAGGGATTTGATGTGGACATATCTTTGCAGCAGAGGGGTAGGGGGATACAATTCAACTTGATATACATGAGAATCTCTTGGAGCCTCAGTTTCCTCATCTGTAGAATGGAAATAATAATACTTGATAACTCATAAGGATTAGGTGAGTTAATTCGTGTAGACCCCTTAGGAAGGTAACTGGCACTTAGTAAGTGCTTAATGCATGGAAGGAAACGCAGGACAGCATTCAAGACATACATGATGAGCTCAGT